GTTCTTCTTCATTCAAAACCAAAGCAACCGGACAAAACATGAGTGATAACCGCTATTTAGTGCAACATGAGTGCATGTATCATCACATTAGATAGCCGTAAGAAGCTTATCATGAAAAGCACCTCTTGCCTAGACTTGAAGGCGCCACACGACTACAACAGCTCAGCCAACCCGTCACAGCGGCATGGACAGAACAATGCTGACTACTTCGAACGTTCCTCTCCTAATGCAACAGCAATCGCTACAGGGATTTTGGTCTCCTAAAGCAGCCTGCGCTCGTTTTCGAGTTAAAGTTCAGCTACGGATATTGGTTCTCTGACCCTACCAACACGACCTGATCCGCTATGATTCCCTCAAAGCAGAATTGACTCTCAACAACTCGGAAAACATGCCACCAACTCAGAGTGAAGTCGTAGTGGCTTGAATTGAAAGCCATGAAGGGAACGAAATGAAGTGTGAAATAGGATAAGGATTGAACTCTGACAAAGCGCTATATACCGGTTCCTCATCCAAAGCGAAAGTATAAGGAAGACAGCTGTTATTCGACGATTCAGTTTGGCAAGATGAACTGTGCGTTGACAACGTACGGTGGAGATATCCTCGCTGTTATACTCGTGCTATAGTTTCTACTCCAGGGGCGTCTGCAGGCCGCGCGCCGCCAACGAATGCCTGCTATGAGCCTGTGCATGCGAAGCTTAATTGCAGCTGAAGAAAGCAGACAAGACCAGGAAATTATTAATTATTAAACCACAAGAACGCTAGAAATGTAATACTGGTGCGAAAGGTTCGCGACTGCCGCGCGCGCCAATCGATTACACAAAACCAATCCTACTGGCCCCAGGGAACAGACGTGGTTCGACCAAATTGTTCAACTCGGGCACAGAATGCCTATAGACCCAAATGCGCTAGCGGACCTACATCCTATTCGGTGCAACGAAAATGAAGTGATGATTTCAATATGGAAATGAAGTATGATGCTGGGGCGTGTTCAGGAAGGTGCAATAGTGAACGCTAGCAATAAATTCTGCAACGTACTATAAGTCTTCCTTTTTACAATAGTATGTAGCTCCTCACCTGGATCTGGATCAATTCTCTGTCGCTCCTTTCGCATGCTTTATTCTGGAAGCCGCGACTGCTTCCGTCAACGCTTTTAAACAGATCAAAATGGGGTTACTAAGTGGAAGGCCGTAGTAGTTCCACGGATCTGGAGCGGAGATATGTAGCAACACGACGCCCCGTTACCAAAACGTTGGATTGACACAGACACTCCCTGCACTTTCTGGGTGAAAAACTGCTCGACTGTACTCCACTGGTACGAACTTAGGGTGGATACACAGTTTAACTACTGGCTATGGTTGATCCAAGAGAAATAGCCGAGCGATCGCGCGTAGAAGACACCTACTGTAACCGATGGTCCTTCTCAACTTTTGGTAACTGCACTTCTCAGCCGCTAACGGTATTGGTAGCGAATTTATGAAAATTCACGGAGTCACGGGGTGAACTGTACAGCTCACATACATATGACTTTGTTTCAGAAGTACTGAATAAGTACTGTGGCATGATCCTTCTGGAACTAGTGTTAAAGGGGCGGAGGTGGTGCAGTGGCAAGTGGAATACTAACTCCCACGCACAGTCGAGGGTCCAATCCCTGGATCGATATCCGCCCAAATTGAGTTATGTCGTACAAGTAGCTGAACTCTTTCAAGAACGGCGCAAGCTACTGAAGGGCAAAGGGTACATCAGTTTCGAATACTGAACGTAACGACTTATAGTGGTAAAACGTCGAGAGGATCGTTCGAGAAACCTGTTATGAGAGGATGAAAACAACAACAACAACAAGTGCTAATCGCAGTAATGACACTCATGATGCTGTTGAGTTGTAAAGTCAGCTAAATTGTTGGCAAAAAATCCAAGTGTTCGATGAATACGATGAAACGTGCTCCAATCGATACATGAATTTTGAGACAAGCATGACCCTCAGAGGCAGGGACAGGGCAAACGCCCGTAGTAGAGGTCTTGGAGGAAGAGCATAACTAAACAGTGGACCACATGCACTCGCGTATTTATAATTCATCGGTCCATGCTCTCCCGTAGAGGAGCGCATAATTTATGGTTTCTAAGGATGAGCAAAATAACGAAAGTTCCGACAAAGCACAATATGGAAGAATACTGATGTAGCTACAAATCAGAGCTGAATTTATGAACCAAAACAGCTTTGAGTAACAGATGTCCTACTTTTGCGATTTATGCCATTTTCAGTTCAATAGACACCCATACACTCCATTAAAAGCGAGGATTGAAGAAAAGCAAATTCAAGGAAATCTGGGAAAAGCACAACGCGGAAAGCTCATGGATGAAGCGTAAATCGAAGCTCCGTGGCTTACATCCGTCAAAATAGCCCTGAGGAATAGATGTCTGCACCTAGGCCGGTCCTACCACGATAATTAAAGGACTTTCCTATTTCGAACGTACATTTGATTTCGAAGGTAACGCCAACTTCTGCATTGTCCTTTCATCCTTGGCTTTGTTTTATGATTTGTTTTCTATGTTTTTTCTCAAATGTAACCTTATCTCCAATTTGCGTTTGTTTGGCATCCACTGAAGAGTCTAACAGCACGGCTGTGTCCTCGACAAATGTCACTGTTACCAGTAACAAATTGTGTAGATTTCCTTCCTGTTCCTTTCTGTGTTTCCCCTCATTTTAATTATTTTGCCACCGGACGGCCGTTAGAGTGTTACCCTAATAGTTTTTTTTGGTAAAAACGTAATTGAGGGCCCACTGCTCTTTTCTACAAAGGGCTAGAGCGCAGGATAGGATGTATAGGTGATCTTGCTTGTTCTCAGAGAAAGATAGTTTTTAACTAAGCCTCAGCAGGGAAGGAGCGCCAGGGTGAGTGAGAAGGTTTCTTCGTCAAAAAGCTGGAATTAAGTAAGAATTGATCTTCACATGACTCACCCACCTTGATACTATTCCCTCCTAAGGCTTGCTTCAGAAAAACTATTTCTCTGCAAAGAAGCGTTTCTAAGCACCGTTATGGGCTCGCGAAGTCGGCTACTCTTACTACCATTCCTTCCCTGCACTCTTGGCATTGAAAAAGAGCGGCAGCCCCTTGTCCTCCCCTCCTAATCTTCACTAGTTTTTTTACACCCACATTTTGCTCTTTTTTCCGTTTTCCCTTTACCTTTCGTGTAATTTTATTCCGACCTTTTTCCCAGACTCTTCAGGTTTCGTTCCTGTGATGCGTTTCGATTTCCCGGTGCCTTCTTTCATATGACTTATAAGTGTATTCGTTTTTGGTCGCAGGCGTTTGGTTTTCTTGTATTCCTATCTTTCATTTGATAAATCCGGATAAGCTGTTTTATCGAGGACTTCAAAACGGTTAACACCCACCCCGATCAAGCGCTTAATAGGGAGAAGTGGCGTCAACAACAGAAAAGCGGGACAGACGCTAAATAATAAGAAGAAGAACTCTGA